GCACAGATCGTAGATAAGAATCAGACGGGATCGGGTTGCATACGAATCGAAGCGAACCGATAATGATTTGTGCCCAAGTGTCCCATGTCAACGGGTCTTCGCATTAGTGAAACCCTTCGGTCAGGATCGCACTTGAGATCCCCCAGATCTCCGCTTTGATTTGTGGCTTTCCTGTCGATGGTGGCGGGGGGCTAAGATCTTGGCAATAGTCCGTGTCCTCGACTTCGATAGGAAGTACTTGTCCTTTGCCTTACCAGATTGGAATTTCAAAGAACTTGATCTTGGGATAATAATGATTCATTTATTAAATCCTGTTTTGGGAAGGTTTTGGATGAGCGTCTTTTTAAAGATGAAGTTCTGAAGTATAATATAATGTGGTACTTTTGGAATTCATTGTAATCTATATCCTGTATTAACTAATTAATATTGTAGGTACTTTGTTATTTTACATTAAATGATTATGATTAATATTTAATATTTTGTAATATTATATTGTGTAGGATGGGTTTGTTATTCCATAGATAGTTTTCTGAATTTCTGTTGTTTTCGTATCAACCGAGGTTCTTTAAACGAACTACCCCCTGTGGCTTTGCTCGACCCCCCTCCTCCTTCGGTACACTTTCCCGGTGCCTACTGTACGTCGGACACCCAACCGAGCTTGGAAATGCTTCGGTTTGTTTACAGGGCTGCGGGGTCAACTATCTATGTAAATCCAATATTTGGAGTCTGATAAGGCGGGCACAATCTACATGTGGAGCATGGGGCATGCAGCTTGGGGGTGGAAAGGAGGCGGAGCAGAAAAAGTTTATTCCTTTCGGATGGCACACAAATAAACTTCCAGCCCCGTGTACTGACACACATTATGTGCGCATTATTTTGAATTTATACCCATAAATTATTTCGGAATATTCTCGCACGCATTGCGTTGTTTGTGTTTTACGATTGGGTTTGTGTGGTTTCGAAGTTTTTGAATGCAGTTGCTTTTCGGGCTTTTTATTGAAAGCCAATGTTTACGGTAGGCTAATGTATGTTTTCTTTTGGTTGATGCGAGTTCCTGTCTATGGCTTTTAAAATATGGCCAAGTCTGGGGTAAACCTACTGTTAAAATAAAGATAGTTTAGAAGGATAGTGTAGTTTAAAATATTTTGCTTTGAGTTTTAGGTAAACCCTTTTACCACTTTGAAGGCAGTCAATTCCTTCCTCTTGCTCTCTTTATTCGTTTTTTCCATTTCCATATTCCCAAAGGGTACTGTACAGTAAAGTCTGATCGCTACAATGGGGTCTAGTGGTAGAATCGCAAAAATCAGGCAATTAAAGCACTCCGGGACTTGAACACCGGGTTTCCTTTTCCTCCTGAAGGTCAGAATCGCAAAAGGGAGCAAGAGCAACCCTTTCAAAGGTAAAGTTCAAGCTCTACAATGGCAATAGCCACTGTACGTGTGAGTGTTTGGCCCTGCGTTCGGGTTTGAGTTGAGTTTCGGTCTTGGGATACCTACAATCCAACAATCCAACAGTCCTACAATAATGCACTCACCAACACCACCGCCATCGAGAATCCATATCAGCACGGAGGAACAATAACAAAACGCCGCAATAACAAAACATTCGTGCCCCGGACAAACGGACAAACGGACAAATGGAACGGACGGAAAGTTCAGACATACACACAGTCGAAACGTACACCTACGTTCTTAGAACCACAGGCACGCGCACAGTGCTTGACAAGAAACTAGCAATAGACTCACTCAATTATCAAAAAAAAATTTATTTAAAAAATTTTAAAAAAATTTTAAAAAAATTTATTTAAAAATTTATTATTTTATTAATACCTTCCCTGTTGAGATAAAATGATTTTTGACCATTTTATGCAGGTTTTACCACAGGATAATGGCAAAAAACGCACAACTTTGGTCTTCTGGTCGCTACTTTCATGACCTTTGGTGTGTGTTCGCGCACACAAGCGCATTTGCCATATAAAGGCAAGCCAAACAAACGGAGACGAAGGCGGCAGAGGCGTCGGCAGCGACAGCGACGCGGACAGAAGCGTCGGCAGAGTCAGGCCAGACAGTCTGTCGCCAGAAAAATCCGGACTCACACATGCAGCACTGCACTCTCACACACAAGCACATACACACAAGAAGAATGAAGGGAAAGGGAATGGGGATTGGGGAAGGAGGAGGGGGGAGGAGAACGTTTAAGACTGGAGGGGGAGGAGGTGGGGGAGTGGGCTGTCGACTTCTCTGCTCACTGTTGTTGTATCTCGGTTGAGAAATCGCTCGAAAAAGCGAAGCGCAAAGCAAAATTCCATTTAGATTATGCTCTGTGCTCTTCTGCTTCTTATTCTCGATGCACTGAGAAATAATGTATGTTGATTCTTCAAAAGTGTATCTTTTAAAATGTTACAGCATTTAGTTTAAGTTAACTCAACCTACAAGCTATAAAAAATGGCAGAAAAAATTAAAGAATATCGAATATAAATGTCAGCTCATAAAATAGTTCGCAGTGTGTTATTCGTGTTGTTGTTGGCGCTTTGACGAACTCAACGCGCTGCTTGGGAGGTGTTGCTCTACACGTCCACAAACCCCAGAACCCCAGACATATACACACACACCGAAACGGGCACTCGATGTGGAGTGTATGTGTGTGTGTGTGCAGGGAGATGTGGCAGTGTGTGTGAATGCAGTGTGCATTGCATTGCCAGACCGTCCGGCGCGTATAACGTCATCGGCACTTGGGACAGCGGCAGAAAGCCAGTGGCGTGTTCTTCAGAGGTTATCAATAAATTGAGGGAGTTCTTATAAACTAATCGCAATAAATTATAATCTTAATTATAATTTAAGACAAAAAAGTGACCTTTTAGAAGGCATGACGAAAAATGGTAGAGACAGACAGGTAACAAGCAGAGTCCCCAAAAAGTATGCAACACGAAAAACAAACTGAGAATAATCCCAATTTTGGCTGTCTTTAAACTTTGTACAATACAAATTATACATTCTATTGGAAGGGTATTTCTTTGTCAGAATTTAAATATTGTAGCCCCTTTTCGAACCCGTTTTCACAACGCCCCTAGTTCCCCACTTGAGTACGAATTTTATCGCCCACGATTTCGGTTGTTGTTGCTCTACTGTTTGTTTTCGATACCCAGGAACGCACACACACTCACACTCACAAATTCGAAACACACGGGGGGTACTTGAGTTCTATGGTTTGAAAAAAGATCCCTTCCCACTACCCGCCTATGAAACAAATAAATATTCGAAAAAATCCCTCAGCTAACGATCAAATGTTAAGTTTCAATTACAAATCGATGTTGAAAAGTCTCAAGAAGCTCCAACTTTTGAAAGCTTTACTTGAAAGATAAAAACCTCGAATCAGTATACAAGACATTTTAACTACTACTTCCTTTATTAAAAAGTGGAAGTACAGAAAATAACTTTTCCTACCATATAAATTAAAATACAGTTACATAATTCTTTTATTTTTTGATTTCCCTCAGCAGTAAACATTTACTGACCAATGCGCAAACTATATTAATAGTTCTTAACTTAAGAAATAAAAAGAATCCCTGAATCAGACTCAAATTTAATGGCCACCTGTTGAAATCATTAAAACTTCGCCAATACAAGATCTTCAATCTCAATGAGCTTAAGAATTTCGAGTGAATTGAAACCGAATCTTGCTTATGGCATTTCCACTGATTCAAAAGAAGGATTATCCCGCGAATTCCTTGGATCTTTCTCGGGCCTTTCGGCCTGTCAGATGGCATATTCCTCAGGTGCCCGGCTGTCTGCAGTTTTTATGCGAGTTTTGGGGATAAATCAAGCGAGGGACGGCACTGCAAGAGGGTCAGTTTGGAGAACAACTCCAGCCGAACTGTACTAAAGATAGAGGCGAACACGTTCCCAGTGCCACCACACACAGATACACACCAACACCAGCACACACACACGTACCAAAAGTGAAAAAAAATACAGGAAACGCGGACGCCAATGGAGAAAATCAGGGGCGGGGGCAGAGGACAGCAGACGGGGGTCGGGGGTCGGGGAATAAGTGCATATGTGGCCCCTGAAACTTAACACTTCTTTGGCTCCGGCTGCGAATATTAAAATACCCACTTAAGGCCAACAATAACAGCAGCAAAAAGCAGAGAAAATTAGAAAAGGAGGAGCTAGAATTGAACTCAAGTAGTTTCCTCTTACACTTGGAAAAAACTAGGAAAAATATTTACAATAAATAATTGAACTTTATTTCGAGAAGTTCATTAATAATTATACCAAACATTTGTGGTTATTATTTTGTTTTACCATTCTACTCAGATCTTAGAATATATCAACAAACATTTTAAAAATGGAGTTACATTTTTCCCGGTGCATAAACATGATCTCGTATTGGCGCCCGTGCGTCTGAATATGGAAATCGGAATAAGTACGGTGTGTGGTGTGCTATATGCAATGGAATAGGGATGGGACACTTGAGTTTTGGGTCTGGTTTGTCCAAGGGGAAACTACTCGAAGGGGCGGTCGTCGGCACTTGAGAAAAGGAGAAGCAGGCATGGATATTAACTAATTGCCGGCCACAAAAACGCAGGGAAGCAACCGACACGCCATTTAACACATTTGCGAGTTTGTTCTTCACTTGGTAATATATTATAGATGGTACATAAACTCATTTTCATATGCTGTTTTTCATAGTTCTATCTAAAAACACCTAATATATAATATAAAGAGAATTTAAGAAAGAAATAAATACTAAGTTGTTCAATGGAATAAAATATATATTTTTTATCAATAGACTTTGCTATTAAAGAAACTCTTAGCTCAATTTTAAAATTTCTAAGCAGCGCGCCAAAAGTGTGTACACACTTTCTGTTGACACTTTATTTTTAAATGTTGAAAACAGCGCGCCAATACAAATCAATCTTATTTCCCATGTGTGGCAACGTTGGTCAAACTCCCCAATCGATAACCATCACCGCCTGCCTATCGGCTGGTTAACGGCGATAACTTTGATCGGACGTGTTTTTTGCAAAGTGGCTGGATGCAAAAAAGTGGACAAAAAGTGCAATGTTTAACGGTTAAATGCGTTAAGTGAAGTGGCGAACAACAACAACAACAGTGCGATGCCGGTCAAATTGATTTAATTGATTTTCGGGCAGCGCAACAGCAGAGCAGCAACAACAAAAACACAAATCCCCCGCAGTATATATATACACACACACACTCACACCCGAAGATATGCACTAATCAAAGGACGCAAGCCGAAAAAAGGAAAAACAAACACAAAGAAGCAGAAAAAAGAAGAGAGCGCAGCTTTTCCAGAAATTGGGTCGCGCCTTCCAAGCTTCAAAGAGCTGTTGTTGTTGTTGCTGGTGAATTTTATTTGAATTTTCATATTTTTCTGTTTTGTTGTTGTGTGCATTTGTTGCTGTCGTTTGTTGTTGTTGTGGTGGTGGTTGTGTATTGTTGCTGGCAGCTAAATGTTATGGCAACACTTGCAACTTGCATTTGTGTGGGTGAGTAGTTTTTGTTCTTAAACTGCATTTTATGCTTTACATTCCTACTAATATTTTGGATATTTATCAATAAAATTCCAATTAACATTTCGATTGCTTTTAAAGAGTGAGAAGTGGAAAGCGAAAGGATAATAACAATACGAGAAGGGAAATCGCAAGGAAGCCCTATATCTCCACCAGAAAATCCTGGCACAATTAATGGCAACTCTACGCTTTTGTGTTTGTGTAGGTAAGTAAAACCCTTCAACTATATAACATAAATCGAAATACTAATTTATCAAGACGTTTTCTATGCAAAGAACTATTTGAACCAAAACAAAAAAACTGCCGAGAAAGATTCTTGAATTGTTTATTTATATATGAATTCATTTGTTATAAAATATAAAGCATACATTTTTGGTTTGTTTAAATTTATTTGCTCAGTACTCAGGACTAAGAATTAATATTAAATATAGAACATGAAATTAAAAAAAAAGAAAGGTGAACAAACATAGATCTATAGAACTCTTAAATATACACATTTATATATTTTTAAATATTTTTTCCATCTAATAAATGATTCATTTTCTTTTTCACAGAGTGAGCCAGCGGAGTAGCTCGAAATCAAAAGGAAGCCACTGCTGATTCGGCCAGCCAGTCAGGAGCCTTAATCTCCACCAGAAACTGTTCAGCTTCAGAGCCCGATCCCCCGAAGCAACATTCCCGATCCGATTCCGTTCCGCAATATGAGCGTCGTGGGCAAGCAACTGAATCCCGTGCAATCCTCGAGCGCAGCCGTCGCTGCCACATCCTCCTCCTCCTCGGCCGCCGGAGGTCCCACATCGTCCAGCAGTGCAGCGGAGGCCAACGGCGGTAGTGGGGGATCCGCGGGAGCAACTGCGTCGGGCGGTGGCGCCTCCGGCGACTCCAAGCGATCCGTGGAGCCATCGAGCGTGAGTCCCGACGAGGTGCTCCACCTGACCAAGATCACGGACGACTATCTGTGCTCCGCCAACGCAAATGTGTTCGAGATTGACTTCACGCGGTTCAAGATCCGCGACCTGGAGAGCGGCGCCGTGCTCTTCGAGATCGCCAAACCGCCGAGCGAGCAATATCCGGATGGACTGTCCGTGGAGGAGACGATGCTGGCGGCAGCCGAGGAACTGTCGCTGGAGGACACTGCCGATCCAAATGCCGGTCGCTATGTGCGCTATCAGTTCACGCCGGCCTTTCTCAACCTCAAAACTGTGGGAGCCACGTATGTTTGCTCAATTACATATATTTTCTTGAATATCCAAAATTATTATTTACTGTTTTCGTTTTAGTGTGGAGTTCACTGTGGGCAGCCAGCCTGTGAACAACTTCCGCATGATCGAGCGCCACTTCTTCCGCGATCGCCTGCTAAAGACCTTCGACTTTGAGTTTGGCTACTGCATTCCATATTCGAAGAACACGTGCGAGCACATCTACGAGTTTCCTAACCTTCCACCCGACCTAGGTGAGCTGTCCGCCCAGCAGGCATTTACATAATCCCAGCCAGCAGCCAAGCAGCCAAGTGGCTGCCAAAAAGTTTGAGGCGTTTGTGGGTCAAGGTTGCCTTGAACTTTTTTTAAGAAGAGGGGGTTTATTTCAAGACGTTGAAGTTTTAGTTGTCAGAATTCGTTGACTAAAGGGTTGCATTAATTTGGTTGCCTTTTATTTTTTGTTAAATGTTTACATCACATTATTTTGGTTTAAAAAGGGAATGTAGATCTGGTTTCCGTATTGTGTAAACTGCAATTTGTTACCAAAATCGCTTATTTGTTTACCGATTTCCCCACTTTCAGTGGCTGAGATGATATCGAGCCCCTTTGAGACGCGCTCGGACAGCTTTTACTTTGTGGAAAACCGACTCGTCATGCACAACAAAGCCGACTACGCCTACGATGGCGGCATTATAGTCTAGTAACCCAACTAAACAGTCTAGAAATGAGAGTGAAGCGACACTGCAACTAGAGCAAAACTAATAACTAAAGAACTAAAAACTACAAAAGCTGTGAGACAACATCAATGACTTGTCACACAAACAACACACACTCGAAACACTCGAAGACACCCACTTCCACTAACAGTTCACAATCACACTCACAACACATCGAATCAAGGAATATTATCACAGCCATTTTAGCCTTAGCACAAAAGTTTTACCCACCATTCCTGTTTGATGTATTTAGCAAGGATAACGACTCCTGTACACACGAAAACCAAACAAAAAAAACCACAAGGAAACATAAACACACACTGAAGCACGCGGACTGTGTTCATTTATCAATGATTTAAACTTCGACTATATAATTTTAAGTGCAATGTGATTTCCCCTGATTTATATCTGTATTTATACACATTTATTTATTCCTAATAAGTAAGTAAACTCACACACACCCAACAAGGAACATACATATATATATCTATATATATATAAATATATATATATATACGTACGTATACACACACGAAACCTAAGAAATACGAATTGAAAATTTTCGAAAAATTGAGAAACACACTTGCTGTCAATTTTTGTGTGCAGCATACGATCATTCGAGATCTATCAGCTTTTCCTCATGGAATTTTTTTTCGTGTCTGTGTATGTATATTTTTTAACAAAAACCAGATGAAAAGAAAAACAAAATGAAAATGGAAATGGAGACGAAAATCTGAGAATCTAAAGAATCTAACGATCACACGCCGTACAAGAATGATAAATTAAATTACATTTTAAATGTACATACACCACCAAAAACTGAAGTTGGGCCGGCGTTTATAAGGAGGGGCCATCGAAGCTGACGTCATTTGGAATGCATTTCGTGACTAAAAGCACTTAACTACTACACAGTGAGTACTTATTTTGGATAGACCTTGAATAATGGGTAGAAAACTTGTCAGATTCAACAGTTAAAATTTGATTCAAAGGAAATTTAAGTGTCTTCTGTAGATATTATTGTTTTTGTAATTGTTTTGCGAAAGTAAGATCCTTTTAGAACGCAAAATGAAGCTATCTCTCTCTTTTCGGTGAGTGTTTTAGATCGTGAAGTCAGATCGTTTTTCTAAACGTAGAGTTCCGGTCCCAAGGATAACGCAGTTTACACTTCAGTTAGCTAAAGCCTCTCTATTATTGACTCCTTTGTACAAATTTGTAAAACAAAAGAATTTTGGTTGTCTAATCGGATCTATTTAGGAACTCGCTGACCAACGATATGAATTCCTGCGGCTGTTCGAAATGCACCAGATGGCCGGCTTCCAGCCAGTGAATCTCGGCATTGGGAAACATATCCACAATCTGTGGCCACTGTTCGCGTCTGAAATGGGTAAACGAATATGTTAATTTGGATCGCAAAAGCTAAAGTTCTCTAAAGAGTGTAAAACGAACCTCATGTATGATGATCGCGTTCCACAGATAAAAGTGGTTGGTCCCGTGTACGGAGGCAGTTCATCCAGATTGCTCTGGTAATCATCGAAGCGGGTGAGGAAATCTCGGAGAACTCGCGCATTGCAGGCCCATGAAAATCTGAAAAATTATTACATTTTGTTATTTGCCCAAACTAAGTTTTGTGATGCTTGACTTACACCCCTGAATCAGGATCTTTACGCAGATTCAACATGATAAAGTCGACGGTTTCGTCCTCGGTGGCTTCTAGCAGTGCTTCCCTGGCGATTTTCCGCCCCTCGGACATGGATAAAGTTGGAGAGAGATTTAGCGAGACCATCGCATCGAAGATTTCCGTCATTTCTCCAGTCGATCGCGGCACGCTAATGGGCGATATATCCACTACTATCAGTCGTTCCACCAACTCGGGCTGAAATAGTCGAAATAATTATTAAATATAGTAATGAAAAGTGATTTCAAGGGAAACAGCGTCCACCAACTCACATATTTCCGGGCAAAGTACATCATAGACCTGCCACCCATGCTGTGACCCAAGCAGGCGGCCTGTTGGTAATTGTGCTGCTCCAGAAACAGACGAACATCCTCGCTCATCGCCCTTGAATTGTGGACATTTGAGTGCGGACTCTCTCCGTGATTCCTGGCATCCATTGCGTAGACCTGCGAGGAGGAAAGTCCTGGAATTACAAGGGATAAAGCCCAAGTCAACTTGATAGGAAACCCACCTTTCTGGGGACTTTCCGAACCAGCGCCTTGCTGATTCCCCGCCAGTTCTGCTTGGAACCAAAGAGCCCGTGATAGGTTACCAATGGTGGCCTCGTTTCCGCGCTCTCACCGGTGTACAGATCGAAGCTCAGTTCCACGGGATCCGGCAGCTCTGAGGAGTACGCCCTCTTCGCGATCCCAAAAAGACTCCATGCTGTTGCCGCAGGAGAAGCATGGGTCTTTCCCTGGACAAACGAAAGTAAACGTAACGATTTCGTCAGTCGCTGCATCTGTTGGCCAGTGTGTGCACACGCCGCCGGCGGGAAAACTGTGTGGACAGTGGTGTGGTGGTCCAGGGGGTTGTGGTCCTCCAGTTGCGCAATTTGGTTGCCGTTTAAATGTCGTGGATTTCTAGCATTGTGCAAACTTCAGAGCGGAGATAAGCTAGGGTGTTGTTTTTATATTTTGTTTTGCTATTTACATGTGCCAGTCAATCGACAGGAGCGCAGTGGAAAACACTGATAAGGGGTTAGCAAATCAAACTGTTTTGCCTCAAGCAACTTTAGATTTCATATAAAAGCAAAAAATAATCCAGATATTGAACTGTCCAAATTAAAACCATATTTTTTCTAAGAACTCAAGCCATGACTGATTATTTCTTATTAGATCTTGTCAACCCCCCTTCGCAAAGCCCCTGTTCTCTGGTTGCAGCCCTGGCTGTAAGATAATTTAGGCAATTTCCGGCGCTGGGTTTTGTCGCAACGCCATGCACGGTCACACTGCACTGACAGCCGCCATATTTTCTGCGGCGGGCGCATATTTTTCGCCAAGGAGGTTACTGTTTAACTCAAATCGAACCAAGAGCATCTTCCGCAGCCCCAAAAGCTAACCTTCCAGCTGGCCGACTAGCCAGCGTTTCCAGGTAATCCAGTGGCGAGCCGGGAGCAAGGAAGTACACCATCACTTAACGAGAACTCCAGCGGATAAAAGGGGGAAAGCACGGCAACGACGTCGGCAGAGGCAGCGGCAGCGCAGCAGCGACGACGGCAGCGGCGATAGGTAAGCAGCAACAACAAATCAAGCATATTGCTTAAAGAAGACCAACAAATTGATATATTTTCAAGTATTCTATTTTTCCCCTCCAAAAAAAAACAAAAATAAATGAAAAAGAAAACCGAAAAATTAAAAGTTTTAATTGTACAAATGTAACAGTAACAAAGTAAAAGTCAAAAGTCAGTAAGTGAAAAAGTGGTTAAAGTTGTTCAGTAAATCCGATTTCGGTCGCGAAAAGTGCGAAAAAGTCCGCAAAAGTCCAAGCAAAAAAGTCAAATAATTAACTCTCTCCTGCGTGTGCGTCTGTGTGTGTGCGTGTCCTTAACTGTGTGTGTGAGGGGGAGAGAGCGGGAGAACACAAAGAATTTTTCCAATTGCTCACAGACTCTCTCTCTCTCGCTCTCTGTTGTCTCTCTCGTTCGCGTCTAAAAATTAATTAAAAATAATGTATAACCAACAATTAAACAGTTGCACACACACAATATAATCAAAAATTAAAAAGATAAATGCTTATAAAAGAAATGAAGGTAAGAACCCCACAAAAAGTTAACAGCAACAAAAAAAACTTATTGATCAAAACCTTTCTTCTTCCATTAAAACAATGATACCAATATCGATTATTATGCTCCATCGCGTCTGGGAGCAATCGAAAAGATATCGGAATTTGTTGGTGGCTTTTGACCTTGACCTTCGATATGTATTCCTTCGTTGACCCCACCTTATGTCGATAATTGGTTATCGACTAAACCTGACGACATTTAATCGATTGCATCGATGACATAAGGTTCTCTTCGCTTATCAATTTTAAAATTTCTTTAAAATAGAAGTATCAATAGCCAAAATGTTTATAAAACCTGATGAAACGAACAGAAAGAATAGGGCTCTTTAGGGATAACTTTAATTACAATTCTAGGAGCAGATATCTCAACCCTTTAAATTCCGGCTGTCTAAAACTGCTAATTGATATTTCAAATAAGAAACCACGTGGTTTCCAAAACTTATACTGGTTACGATGGATGAGTAAAACACAACAGGCAATAACATTTTAAGATTCGAAAACTGAAAGACAATTGAGTTAAAGTACTAAGTAAAACAAAATAGTTGTCCGCTTCAAAAATCTGTAATCTCTACCAGAAGCCTCCAACAAATGCTCGACTTGATCCAGTAGCTTTGCCTCGGTTGCACAACGCCCACCGATAACTGGTGGTTAACTATCGTCTAAGATTTGCCCAGGGTGTTGAATAGGTCCAGCCACGAAAGCCCCACTAATCAGCGATCCCTTCGAATCTCCGCAGAAACGCCAAGAAACGAGTTGCCCGCATCGGCGTAAGGCGAACCCATGGTCATCGACATGGAATCAGACGATTCTCGTGCCAGTTCGCCGTCCAATTCATCGGAGTCGCGTTCGAATTCGCCCACCAATGACAAGGAGGAGGTTGCTGCCGATCAGGCCGAGGAATCGGTGGGCGGAGGCGCCACAATGGATCGATCCGTTCGAGCGGCCTCCACCAGCAGCTCGTCGTCGAACTCGAGCTCCAGTTCGAGTCGCAGTGAGTTGTCCAAGAAGCAGAAGAAGAGCTCGAGCAGCAGCAGTGGCAGCGGCAGTGGAAGCAGCTCTTCGAGCGGTTCCTCGAGCGAGGACGAGCCCGATCAGGAGCAGGACCGCCAGGAGCAACCGTCCGAGCAGCAGCAGCACCTCCAGCAGCATCACCAGCAGCAGCAGCTCCACCGAAACGAACCTGAACCAGAGCCTGAAGCGGATCGCGAATCGCCTGCTGCTGTAACAGAGTCGGCGGAGTCGGTGGAGCAACCCGGTTCCCCCAGTGCGAAATCGCAGCCCAGCTCGTTCCTCTCCTCCGTTCGCAGCCGGAGCAACAGTCCCCAGCAGCAGCTGTACAACCAGGCGGCCGTGGATCTGAACATCAGCCACGAGGACCTGAGCGATGTGAGCGACATCGAGGCGGAGGAGAAGCAGGCACCGGCCAAGAACTCCTCGCTGCATCCGGCGGACGAGGACGAGGATGGCGCCATCTCCAATGACTCACTGCCCGGCTTGGGCGAGGAGGACGAGTTGCGGCGGCAGCAGCAGGAGGTCAAGCAGAACGGCAGGACGACCAGCGGGGATGAGGAGAAGGCTTCCGCCAAGGAGACCAAAGTGAGCCATAGGTTTAATGGGATTCTTTGTTAAGTGTGCCGTAGTCTAGAGGAAGCCATTAAGAACATATAAGGTTCTGTTTATAAATGCTTGAAGATTTTCCTATTTAAAAAAGTTTTAATTGCCAATTTTACTGATTTAAATTCTTTATTTAGTATTATGTCTTTGCTTTATAGTTATTCTTCAAGTTTTAAAATCTTACATATGAACAGAATCTTTGTGACTTGTAATTGAAATATGGCACCCTGAAACCGAAAAAGCCAAGTTAAATGTGTTGCAACCTTAAAGAGCTTCACTTATTTATTGACAGCAGCCCGACGAAGCATCCAATGGACGAGTGCCTGCGTCCGCCATGGAGGAGGACTTGGTGAAGACGCACGACGACGACGCCCTGGACTTCGAGGCGGAGGAGGGCGAGTGTCCGGAGCCGGTGAAGGAGAAGCCGTCGGAGAGCAAAGCCAACGAAACAAACCTAGCCAAAGGCACGGCCAAAAAGGCGCAGGACGACGACGACGACGAGGATGACGGCGAGGTGGATGGCGACGAGGACGACGACAGCATGGACAAGGAAAAGCGCAAGGACAACGGCAACGGCAGCCTGGAGGAGGGCGAGGAGGGCAAGGACGCCAAGGACAAGACGGCGGCGGCGGCGGCGGCACTTAGCAAGCGGAAAAAGGACGAGGAGGAGCTGGAGGAGGGCGAGGTGTCCGACGAGGATGAGAAGCGGCCGGAGGAGACGGAACCGAAGCCGGTCTGCCGCTTCTACACGCGCGGCCAGTGCACCTGGGGCATGAGCTGCCGCTTCCTGCATCCGGGCGTCACGGACAAGGGCAACTACACGATGTTCGAGAGTCTGGTGCGCTCGGTGCCCATCCAGGGTGGCTCGGCGGGAGCGGGAGCCTCCGGAGCGGGATCCTCGGCTGCAGCTGCAGCTCGAGCGGGAGCCGGCGGCGCCTATGGCTCGCATGCTGCGGCGGCGGCGGTGGGCGGCGACTATCACGATTATCGGAACGAGCGACCGCCGCTGCACCATCGGCCGGCGCTGCTCCATGCGCCCAGTATTTACGGCGGCCACGTGCACGACTCCCGTCCACTGCTGCCCGACGGACCCGTCGTCGTGGAGAACGCCTGGGAGCGCGGCCTGCGCACCGCCAAGGAGATGATGCGCAAGGCCAACAAGCGCAAGGAGCAGGACATGGACTTCGAGGACAAGAAGATGAACCTCACGCTCTCGCCCGACGAAATGGAGAAGGACCCGTACTACCTCAAGGATCGCGGCGGCAGCAGTGCCCGCTCGCCGCCCCCGCCCTCGACGTCCGCTCGCGAGCAGCCACTCAATCCGCTCAGCCTGCCGCCGCTGCCGATGCACCCGCATGCGGTGCCACACGCCAGTCCGCGCAGCCTCCTGCCCCTGCAGTACTCCGTCTACGGCCCGCCGCCGGATCGCTACGGCCGCCAGTACATGCCGCCGCAGTACGAGGACGTGGACGCCTACGGAAGGATGGCGCGTTACCGCGAACTGCCGCCCCACCGGATGCCGCACTACGAGGACGACCGGCGGTTGCGGCCCGCCCGCGAGGTCATCGTGCAGCGGGTGGAGGCAGCCGGCCGGGGCGACGAGTGGAGCGACCCCTGGATGAGATCCAAGTCGATGGGTCGGGGATCCTACGACCGGGACGACCGGAGGCGAAGGGACAGGCGCAGCTACAGCAGCAACTCGTCGTACTCGACGTCGAACAGCTCGCAGAGCGACTCCAGCTCGGACTCGTCGCGGTCGAGCAGTCCGTCGGAGCACAAGCGGCGCTACGGCGGCAGTGGCAGTGGGCACAAGTTGGCCGCCGCCTCCGCCTCCTCGAGACGACATGCTGGCCGGACGGCCCGATCGCCCAGCCAGATACCGCGTCGACCCAGGCACTCTTCCAGTGAGTTTCAAGTTGCTTTGGTTTCAAGTGATGCAGCAGTTGCTTAACTCCCTTATCTTTATTTTAGAAGGGAGCTTGTCGCCCTCGTACAAGCGACCCGCTTTGGAGAAGCGCGGCGGCGTAGGCCACAGTCCCGCCTCCAAGCGAAAGAAGCTCTCCTCGCCGGCGCCCAAGAAGTTTGACAAGTTGAGACGTCGCCGCAGTTCCAGCTCTTCCGACTCAGGTGAAATATTAATTTTGAATGACTGCAAGGAAAAATGTATCATTGTGATTCCTTTGCAGACTCATCGGATACCTCGTACTCCGAATCGGAGTCGGGCTCCTCGTCGTCGGACAGCTCGTCGGGATCGAGGGACACGCCCCAGAAGCGAGTGAGGGCCACCGACAAGGCGCTCAATGAGCGAAAGCTTATCAAGAAGCGTAAGGATTTATTTGCTTTCTCTTTTTGTTGGTTATGGCATGCTAGGATTCTTTCTTAATTAAGTAAAATCTATGTTAATAACAATTAAGCTGTGTACAAATGATTTTGCAGTTTATTTAAGAAATTACTTTTCCTAGTACAACATTTTTTGCAACGAAACAGAGAACCTAATTTGGTTTGCTTGTATAGCTGGTTTATGAAGCAGCTGTTTATCTTTTTATTACTCATCAGTTCGTGGCTAATGACAAGTTTTAAAATGTAGTTGATGCTAAATTTAAATTAAGGTTTTGCTAAACTCTACAATAATTATGCCTGCTTTTTCGCATATCGATACATTATTGTTATTCCCATTTATTTATATTTTTTAATTTAATTCCTTAAGAACGGATACTAATTGTAAAGTTATTCTCTTCGCAGCCGCTGAACAAGCAACCAAGAAGCGTTCGCCCATTTCCATTGAGATTAAGAAAACGTCGAACATGGTGGGTGTTTCGGCGCTGGCCTCACCCAACAACTCAGCCGACTCCGACAAGGAGAAGGAGCACGGCAATGGCAATGGCAAGGACAAGGAGAAGGACCACAGCAAGGACAAGGATAAGGATATCAAGGAGAAGGACCACAGCAAGGATAAAGAGAAAGACGGCGGCGGCGGCAAGGACAAAGACGGCAAGAAATCGCGCAGAGAAGAGCTACTCAAGCAGCTGCGGGCCGTCGAGGATGCGATCGCCAAGAAGCGCTCCAAGCTAAACTGATCCAACTGGTTACTGTCGTCTGTCGTCCTCGTTGCAATCCTCTTCCTCTCCCCCATCGATCCCTATTGGATCCCCACCCATACATGCCCCGATCGGAATCAATTCTTAGTGTTTACGCAACATTCGCATCGTATTCAATATTGCCTTGGCCCATCTGCAGCCACTCAATGCAATATCCAATTCAATGCATTTAGGTTTAAGAATCATTATGTCCCTTTTTTTCCTTCCTTCCCCTGACTATCGCCAATGATGGAGCATTAAATACTATGTTTATAATAGATTATAAAAAAAAGCCAACACACACTGACTATGTGAAATATTCATCAAAATTACATTGAAAAGTAAAGTTTAATTTCGAACTAATGCTTTTTATTTACCACATTAATATTGGAAATATCTGGGGTGTCTAAATACTGATTACTGATTAATATTACAATTGTCAAAAAATCGACCTTCGCCAAAATAAAAAACTTAACTGAATACTTAAGTCATTTGAATGTTGTTTTTCTGAGACATACATATATGTATAATTATAATTTGGGAATCAGGTTTCTAAAAAGCAATAAGTTAACAAAGACAAAATGAAAATAGTTACATTTTTGATTGAGGACTTTGTCCCCTTTTATTTTGCTTAAACCTGCAGAGGATTTTTCTCACAGACTGGACAATTTTCCTCGGTTGGTGCGTGCGTGTGTGTAATGTGCGGCAATTCCGTGCAGTGTGCGTGTGTGGGAGTGTGTGTGGAAAGGGCAAGGAAGGGAAGTGAAAACCTATTTAGATGACGAATCACAGAAATTTGGCCTCATCAATGTCTGTGGCCCACGGATCGGAGTGCGTGTGAGTGTATTACATTTCAGGGTTTCATTTTTTATACATGCACATATATATTATGGTTTATTTTTTTCTCCCCCCCCTGTTGGCTTTGCCATCTCTCGTTCCCGTCATCGTGTCGCATTTTTGGCAATCACAGGCGGCAGCAGAAGCTGTCACAAGACATTGTCATCATCCAGCGACCAAGTCAAGAGCCACTCCCCCAAAAGGAAAGTTCGCCCACCCACCCACTGAAGTGGGGCGGGGGCAATCCACCCACCTGGTCACGTCCTCATGTGCGTGAAACGACCATACATGTGTCCGTAATCGACTGAGTTCGTAAGCTCACGATACACTCGCAAAAAAGTGTGGAGCAGTGAAAAAGATTCCTCACATTAAAATGTTGTAAAAAATACGCGTTGATACCTTTTAAAATTAAGACAGCTTTTTTATTTAAATATCTTTAAATATTTTAGGTTTATAACAAAAACAAGATTTCATTCTAACATAATTACTATTTTATTTTGGGATTGTTCTTTGGGGATCCAACTCTAAAAAACTACCTCTAAATATATTACGAAAATATATAATTAAATCTTTTTATTATTATTTATTTAAAGTTTTGTATTTAAGTTCTTTTGTGAGTTCAAAAGTGCTGCAATATGGTAATTTTTTCAGTGGACGTTTTGGATTTTTCGTGAGCCTAGCGGACTGCTTAGGAAATAGTGTAATAAAGGCCAGCTGAAGCCCCGTCGAAACCGCAGATTCAGAGCCAGATTTACATTCGGCTGAAAATGAAACTGAAACTGAGACCGAGGGGCTGAACTCCGCCCTCTTTTCCCGGGATTAGCGAATTTCTCTGCCATTTTTTTTGGACACCTCCGCACACCACCCACAACCCAATAACAAACACACATGTGGTGTGCGAAAAAAAAAACAATCACGAACAGATTTATCGCATTCATATTCAGCCTGATGCGAAATGTGACCAAGAGGGTGAAAAGCGGAATGGGAGGCCCTAAAAAAATGAGACCACCTCCCCCCGCCTCACCCACTCCACCCTCTTTCCCCCTCCCCCGCCCACTCTTCACACGCCACACTACACACACACCGCCCCCGCCCCTCAAACCGCAAAATGGGATTACATTACTCAAAGAAATTTATTTTGACAGAACTAATATTTTGTCGCAGAGATCAGCCCCGGTCCTCAGTGCCTCATGTGCTGGCCTGGCCATGGAAATCTGGACTCTGATTGCCTGCCTGGCGGAGTGGGGGTTGAATCCAGTGGCTGGAAGGGGTTGAGCAGGGGGTGGAGTGCAGTGGGGAGCAGTGGAGTGGCGGCTTGCGATTGGAGTATGTGTGGGCCTCGTTTTTTTTGGGGGACTTGCGCGATCTGCAAGCCAAGTTGTAGTGTGCAAAAAATATTTAAATAAGGTTAAAACGAGGTACAAATTACTACATACTTTTAACATATTATTTTTACTTTAAAGCAAGAGATATAGATCTGTTAATTAGATCTTAATCAAATTGAAAGTGGTTGCTAGACTTAAAAGTCTGCAGAGTTTTGTGAAGATTATCAACAATATTGAAAAGTGTTGAATGCGAGTTTATTAAATTTTTCATTGGGTTTTCTGCCCTGGACAATGACAATTTCCGCGCTCTGACTTGATAAACGCCAACAAAGTTGGGCGTAAAAATTAAAGGGGCGTGGTCAGATGGAGTAGGTTGTTTGCCTGGAAACCCAGCATATATGAATTTATGTACAATGTACAAAACACATACGAGTATGAGGATTTGCACACACGTATTTGGCCGAGTCCTTTGGCGTTGTCCCCTGTCCGTTTGTTGCCATAGCCGTTTTCTTTTACCCCCAACCCCCTCCCCTTGTTTTCCCCATTTCCATTGCGACTGCGTGTGGTGTGCTTTATTTTTACCCAGGCAAAAGTTTTCTTTGATGCAATATGTACAAACGACCCGACCAGCTAACGGCCACCAGAAAGGACCAAATGCGAATGGCTGATGTCCTGTGAGCAGGCTGCCCCTCCTCCGCCTCCTCCAAGACCCCTCTATTTGCAACTCGACCCTCACGTACAAACTTTGGCCGTAACAACAACTGTGGCCATTACGAAGCCAAGGCATGTGATGCCAAATCACACACACATGTGCAGAGAGAGAAAAGCGGGTGTCCTTTGTTTGCCAAAAAATAATGGAACGTTAAACAATACCTATATTTATAAAATAATAATATAAGACCTTTCTTTGTGGATTTAAAAATATTTATTTATTAATAAAGTAATACGATTTTATTTGGAAATAATAATTACTATAAATCTTGCACGTTCTTTGACTAAATTATTTTATACACCTTTTATTAGCTCACAACTTGTTTCTTTCTTTTCAGTGCAGCGGGTCCCTTGGTCCTTTTGGACATTCCGTGCAGAGGCGCGTTGGCAACCGCCTGCTACCTTGCCAGGACCTTCCACCGCCACCACCACCAATACCAACACACAAACACAACACAACAGCAGCCAGAGCAGCCATCAAAAAAGGCTTTCAATGGTAGACGAGGTCCTGCCACCACCCAACCACCCAACCACCCACTTGCCACCGCCCCGAACTCGCCATCCTGTAAAGTCCACACTCGACTCAACTCAACTCAACTCAGCTCGACTCGACTCGAGTCCTGTTGTCCGTTTCGTCCGTTGCCATGTTGGACGGCAATGGCGATATTTGCTTTCCTTTCCGCCTTTCCGCCATCAAATGGAATGAAATGTGAGGAGGCGTAAGGGAAAGGGTGGGCTAAGGTGGCGAAAAGTGGGCGGCGAGGGGTGGAAAGCGCCGGACTGGCCTGCAAATGTGGGTGGACCGGCGCACATGGGGTGGATTTTCGCCATTATTGTAACAGTTTTGATCAATGGCCCTATATTTCGGAGGACGCTGTCCGCCAACCCAAAGCGGCCGCAGGAACCTGAAACATAAACCTGCAGGTAAGAATACTGGTTCCATATAATACAACATAATATATTATATATATAATATAATTTATATAGAAATTCCCTGCTTTTGCCATAACTCAATTTTAAATTTCTACAGTTTTTGAATAGTTATTTGAAAACTATCCAACAATACTATCAACAAACAAAACAACTTTCATATTCATAACAATTTGCACTTCCTGTTCACATTTTCTTATTAGCATTAAATATGATTATTCAGCATCTTAAAAAAACATCCAGGTCATTTTGCCGTCCTCCCACTTTGAATTTTCTCAGCTGGCGGCTAACTTCTTCCCTCGTTCTTGCTTTTTTATTATTTATTTTTGCCGCGTCTGCTGAAATTCGATGGGGAAATCAGAGGGCGGTGGGTGGTTATTATACGTATATGTGCTTTGGTGGCTCCATGACCACATACACCTCCTCGCAAAAAAGAAACCCCCCCTTCCCACTTGCCAGAAGGAAAGGACGAAGGACGGCACATATGTGCGACCACAGGCCATGACAACATTTCGGGCTAATCGAAGTTAACCCCTGGCTGCCAGCCCCTTAACCCCACGCGCGCCCGCTGGCTTTGGCAATTTTTTATGCATGGCTCCCAGTTTGCCATTCAATTCGTTTCGATTCCTTTTCGATTCTGCCACTGCGACTGGCCATTAAATTTACGACACAAAACGCAGTCGGGCAAACAAACAAACAACCGCACACACCCGCACGCACTCGCATGCACTGAGAGAAAAATAATAATAAAAATAACATTAACAATTAATTTTCAGCTCCAAAGTGAAGAATATTTTCCGTTCAGGATCTCCAAAACCATATATAATTGGATATTGGATACAAAATTCATATTGGATGAAAATATTACTGCTTTATAATTTCATTGAAATACTCAGAAGGAATTACCTTTTTTTCCAAGTGCTTAGACAGACAAACAAATCGAGGCATAGACAAACAAACAAACCGAAGGGCAAACATTTTTATAAAGTCGCCGACGACGCCAATGAGCAGCCAGGAAAAAATAAGAAAAGAAGGGAAATAAAAGAGTTGCTTATGATTCTGGGTGGGGTGGATTTGGGGGTGGGGGTGGTGATTGGGGGTTAAGGGTTTTCAAGACCCAAAAGAAGAAGGGGTTTTCCCAAAATGAAGGCAACTGTGAGTGGCCCACATGTTTGTGGACATTTATGCAAACTTTTCGCATTTTTTTGCGCATTTCGTTTTTGGGGGAGTCCAGTTGGGGGGTTAAGGATATGGGTCCAGTTTGAGAATGTGTGTGTGTGTGTGTGTGTGGTGGCGGGGGTTAAGGTCTGTGCGTTTGTCTATTTGGTGGCTTTTACTCAAATTTGATTTAGATTCGATTTGGGCTTCTGTATTTTTCAAAGGTATGAGAAAGGTAATATAGCAAAGATCGAACTTAAATACCCAGAAAATTGTTATCTTTCTTTGTTGAATTTTCTTGTATATCCATTTGAATACGTAAATCATTATGTGCTATTAATTCACATATCTAAACTATCTTATTCATCTGTATTCGCTTTGCACCTTAATGTTTTTTA